AATATTCTTGCAGATGTTAAAATATAAGTTATTATATACAGATCATTTTTTTTTACAATTATCAGGAAGCATATTATATACAGATCACTTTTTTACAACTATCAGGAAGCATATTTAATAAAAAGACTTCTGGTGTAAAGGGTAAATAGATATTCATTATTTCCATTATTATTTTGTGTATTTTATGCCAATCGTTCTGAATTATTCCACACCTCCACCACATCTGGTAAAAAGTCCCTACATTGTTTTTGCATTTCCAGCAATTATTTGTCATATTTGGGTAACATTTGGCTATTTTATCAGGTGACCAGTGCCGCCTATGAAACATTTTATAGATATCTCCTTTATAGGGTACTGCCCTGCAGTGCTTTTTGAGATACAGTGGCCAGAACTGTACATGGTATTCCAAATGAGGCCACACCATAGATCTATACAGGCACATTGCAGTATTGGCCGTTTTATTCCTTTCCTAATAATCGCTACCATAGAGTTTGCCTTTTCCACCGCTGCAGCACACTGGGTTGACACTTTCATTGAGCTATCCGCTAAGACCCCAAGATCTTTTCCCCCTCTCAGTCTTAGGAAGTTCAGACCCCATTCGCCTATACTTGAAGCTGGGATTGTTTGTCCCAATGTGCATCACCTTACCAACACTGAACTTCATCTGCCACATTGTCGCCCACTCATGCAGTTTGTGTGGAGGTCCTCTTAGTGCTCTTCACAGTCAGCCTTGGTTTTCTCCATCCTGAATAATTTTGTATCATCTACAAACTTGGCCACTACGCTACTCCCCCCTAGATCCAGATCATTGATGAATAATTTAAATAGTATGGGCCCCAATAGCGATCCTTGTGGGACCCCCACTGTTTCCCTTCCTCCATTGCGAGAACTGTCCATTGATTCCTACTATTTGCTTCCTGTCATTTAACTGGTTTTTAATCCATAAGAGAACCTGTCCTTTTATCCCATGACTGCTAAGTTTACTCAGAAGTCTTTGGTGAGGTACCTTGTCAGAAGCCTTTTGAAAGTCCAGGTATATAATGTCTACCAGGTCACTGTTGTCTGGTTTCAGCTAGAGGCTCACACAATCCATGCCTCGTTTCCTCATCTATGATTTTGTTTTGACACAGAACTCAAGTTTTCCTCACACACCATCTTTTAACACTGGCTAAATTACCCACCCACCCCGGTAGAAGGTATTATACCATGTGCTTCTGGTGCACCTTTGTAACAGAAAAAAATTGTGCTGAGAAGCTCATTTGGCTTAAAGAATTCTGCATTTTTGCTTTTTCCATCATCCTGCTCTCTTTGTTAATGGGAGAGAACCTCAGCCATAAACACCTCTTTTGGAACACTTTGCCCCTCTAAAGCAATGTCATCATCAGCTCCTCATCCTGGCTGTTTCTGCAGCTTCATTCCAAATTACACCAGAGGTAATTGAACAACATTCAGCTGCTTTGTTACTTCTTTCAGCAGCTGGTGCTAATTCTTTATTCTAGTGCTGATTCTTGATGCTAATTCTTTATTCTGTTATTTGTTATATTTAGGTGGTTAGTCGGTCTGGAAGAGCCAGAATCGAGTCCAGTAGCACCTTAAAGACCAACAAAATTTTCAAGCGATAAGCTCGCTGCTAGAGCCTTTGTATCTGATGAAGGGAGCTTTGACTCTTGAATGTTTATATCCCAGAAATCTCGATGATCTTTAAGGTGCCACTGGACTCAAATGTTTTTTATTCTGGTGATGGGCTACTTGTACTGTGGCCTGTTGGTGTTGCCGATTGTGTTCCCGCAGAGCCAAACTTAGCAGGAGTTGTCAGACTGAATCAAAATCCTTATGTATGCCCCTTCCATTTCTCAAGCAAGTGCCGTTGGAGTGGTCTAGGAAGGTTGACCAATAAGGCCATTTAAAAGAGCAACCTTAGATTGTCTTGTGTATCACAGTCCACTTCTTCATTGGAGAAAGTCATTTGAATACCTCCTCCTCCATCCCTCATTGGATGGCATAGTAGCCGCTCTGGAGAAATTGCTGTGGTAGCTTTCAAGGCAACACTAGGAACAAATGAAATGTATTTTTAGCATTTGTTTTACCCACGATGCAGCACCTGCAGAAGAAAAAGGAGAGCAGGTACAGGCGGAGCAGACTTCTCTTTATAAAACTATAAATAAAAGATTGTCAAGTGCATGCTTCTGAACCTGTGATCTTGCCCAAGTAGTCCAAACAAAGACATTATTAATGCTGGTAGACTTAAAAATCCTATTAGCTTTGCTTTTGTTTCAGGGGGCCCTGCTGATCTGGCGCACATTTTATAAATGGGGACTGACCTTTAATTTGCTATGTTCTTTTGGAACATTTTCGTGGGCTCAGAAGTTGTTCCTTCTGTTACACCTTTTGCAGAATGGCCAAATACAGAGACTTAGTTTTGGGCTCAGTGTGACAAACACTGTTTTCAACCTCTTTTCACTACTGGCACTTCGGTTCATACACAGGGGTCCCACACAGGAGAAAAATTAAAAAGAGAAATAAGGTAGAGTTTATAGCATTTCCTAGAGGTCACTTCCAGACAGCTCTAGGAATCACCAGGAACTCTGGACAGAACGTCCTGTAGGTAGATGAGGCCTTGCATTTCTTTGTAATTTTTGTCCCCAGGACAATCATGTCCCCCATTTGGCCAGTTTCCACCCGCCGATCAGGTGAGCATGGGGCAAGGGCCAAAATTACCTGGAGGTCTCCTTCCATAAGTGGTCAAATGGAAACTCTACTCCTACACAGTCAAAGTCTTCCACCCATTCTTTATGTAAAACAGGAGTCTTGTGACACCACAAGCTTTTGTGAGTCAGAGCTCAGTTCTTCGGATCACTTGCATCTAACGAAGTGCAGCTGATGCATAGAAGTTTACGTGTCATGAGTACTTCCGAAGATGAGCTCCCGGCCCCAGCAGAAGTCCTTAGTGCTGCTGAGGATGAGCTCCCAATTCCTGCAGAATCTACACCTGGCCCCAATGAAGCCGCAGAGGCTGCTCTGGTAACAGCTGAGGCGGAACAACGCCCCCCCCCCGATTCGCTCCCACCGGAGGGCCGTTTGCGAGATCAGCACCGGCGGGATTTGGCATCCCGATGGCGGGAGGCGCGCCTGCACAGCAGGCGGTCTCTCGGCCCTAAGTTCTAAGAGGAGCCAGGACACATGCGCTGGCTGGTAATTGACAACAGCCTGGAGGGATATTTAGCTCCTCACTCTCAGTCAATTCCTTGTGCTAGCAACTCGTCAGCTTGATCTGCACCCACCTTGCCCGTGTTCCTGATCCCTGTTTCCCGCGTTGAACTCTCGGCTCCTCGACTCCGGTTCAGACGACAACACTCTTGGTTCGTGCCCTGGACTCTGATGTTTCGGCTCCTGACCCCCTGCACTCTGGCTTGATGACTACGCTTACGGTTTGTGCTTTGGACTTGGTGTTTTGGTTTCTTGCCCTCTCGATGTTTTACCTTGGACTGGACCCAGACCAAAGTTCCCTCTAAGCTGTGGAGTCCTGTGAGCAAGTATTCTACTTTGTGAGCCACTGGCATTAAAGATGTGAGTGAGCAATTTGGCTACTGCATAAATTACGTTTGCTCTGGAGCCATCCTTCCTGAGCTAAGACAAAAATGTGTGAGCCAGAGGGTAAAAAACTGTGAGCTGGCTCATACCAACTCAGCTTAGAGGGAACACTGACCAAGACTATCCCTCTCTCGCCCTGCCTGCACTCCAGCTCGTGACAGATTGCTAGCACCCCAGCATGCTCACTCCACAGGATGGATGGAGAGGCAAGCGGAGGCGCTCTGCAGCTAACGGACCTGGTGAACCAGGTGCAGCAGCTCACGCAAATAGTGGCTCACCTGCAACTACAGCAGCAAGCAACCGCCGCCACTGTCCCACCACCAAGATGCCCGGTAAATCCCCCTGAAAAGTTTGGCGGTAATGTGGAGGAGTTTCCTGCATTTCTGGCACAATGTAAACTGTATATTGAACTGCGTGCCTGGGATTTGCAGAGGAGCAGGGCATTTCTCACTCGGTTGCCCTGCCAAGCGGCCCATGTTTGAGGCGCCGCCAGTAAAAGACCCGCCCCAAGCCTGACTGGACCCACCGGCTTGGGGCATTTAGCTGGGTCCTCTGAACTCATGACTATAAACCAAGGACCGTTTCTGGTCCCCATTAAACTTCTGTTGCCCGATGAACGATGGCTATTTATCTATGCCATGCTGGCCCACTGTTTTATTGACGCTGCTTTTGTTAAACAGCATCACATCCTCATCCAGTCCAAAGACACACCGACTCTGGTAAAAGCCATTGATGGGCGTCTCCTCCGCTCTGGTCCCGTGACCCAGGAGACTTGTCTCCTCACACTCTGCATTCAACAGCACCGGGAGCAACTCCGCTTTGACGTCGCTTGCATGTTCCCTGTTCTTGTTCCCGGTAATCCTAGGGTTGTCCTGGCTGATGACCCACAATCCCAGGGTGGACTGGGTCCGACAAGAACTGCAGTTTCTGGACCCTTGTCTGCATCCGACCCTGGTTACCACCCTGGCTGCCGCTGCTCAGGCCAACCAGTCTCGTCTCCCGCCACCCTACAGGGATTTCGCTGACGTGTTCAAGGAAAAAGGAGCTGATCAACTTCCTCCGCGTCTGTACCCTATGGCAGAACCTGAACTGGCGGCTCTATGGGATTTTTTGGAAAAAACCCTGACAAGAGGATTCATCCAGCCCTCCACGTCTTTGTTATCAGCACCAGTCCTCTTCATTAAGAAAAAGAGCGGTGAGCTCCAACTCTGCAACGATTATCGGGCCCTTAACAAAATCATTGTATGGGACCAATACCCCCTGCCTTTGATCCCCGAACTATTGGACCGCCTTAAGGGGGCCTGGATCTACAGCATCTCCGAGGTGCATATAACCTAGTACGTGTCCGGCCGGGCAACGAATGAAAGACGGCCTTTGGCACTCGTTACAGACAATACAAGTACCTCGTAATGCCATTGGGCTTGACCAACTTATCCGTGGTCTTCCAGAGGCTCATGAATTATGTCTTCCAAGACCTGCTCGACCACTTTGTCATTATTTATTTAGATGGCATCTTGGTCTATTCTAACGACCCTGTCCAGCACATTGAGCACGTTCGTCAAGTTCTTCAGTGCCTTCGGACCCATGGTCTCTACGCCAAGCTAGAGAAGTGTGATTTTCATTTGCACTCTGTCGAGTTCCTCGGTCATATTATATCCCCGCAAGGGATACTCATGGACCCAAAAAAGGTGGAAGCCATTCTGACCTGGCAGACCCCTCGTACCCACAAAGATATGCAATGGTTCCTTGGATTTGCCAATTACTACCGGCAGTTTGTCCCCACCCACGCCTCATTAACCACCCCGTTGCCTCAGTTACTTTGGCCCAAAGAACCATTCCACTGGACACCCAAGGCCGATCACGCCTTTGCAGTCCTGAAGTCCTGATTCGCATCCGGGCCGTTGCTGCGCTACCCAGATCCTCAGCTCCCTTTCACGGTGGAGGCAGATGCCTCCAGTGTGGCTATTGGTGCCGTCCTTTCTCAACGAGACGACCCTACACAGCCTCTTCAGCCTTGCGCATACTACTCCTGTCAGCTGACAGCAGCTGAGAGGAACTACACCATCTGGGAGAGAGAGCTGCTGGCCATCAAGGCCGCCTTCAAAGTATGGAGACACTACCTCAAAGGGGCCCGCCATCCCGTTCAGGTGCTCGCGGACCCCCGGACCTTGGAGCATCTACAGACCACCCATCATCTCAACCAACGACAGATCCGGTGGTCTCTGTTCTTGTCTCAGTTTGACTTCCGAATCTCCTATATTCCGCAGACACAAAATCAAAAAGCCAACACTCTCTTCTGTAAACCAGAATATGCCCCTGCTCTGACCGAAGAAACCCCCGCTACTTCCATCTTGCCACCTGTGGTATTTGCAGCTACCTCCAGCCATTCTACCCTGACTAGTGACATCCACACTGAACAAGCCAAGAACTCTTGGGCTCAACAACGCCTGCAGGACCTTCAGGAAGGCCCAGCAGGAGAACTCACCACTCGAGATGATCTACTACTCCACCAAGACCGCCTTTATGTACCACCCGGGCCTCTTCAAGCAGAGGTCTTGCGCCTGACCAACGACTCTCTTCCTGCAGGGCATTTCAGTCAACATAAAACAACCCACCTCCTGACGTGGGAATTCTGGTGGCCTCGAGTACATGCTGACATTGCCCGGTATGTCAGCTCCTGTGATGTTTGTCGGCGAGCCAAGGGTCTTCCTGCCAAGCCCTCAGGCTTACTACACCCCTTACCAATGCCTTCCGGGCCCTGGGACACTATTTCAATGGATTTTATCGTGGACCTCCCTCGATCCCAAGGGCATACCTGCATCTTTGTAATAATGGATCTCTTCACTAAAATGGCCCATTTAGTCCCCTGTGCCAAGATTCCCACGGCCCAAGAAACCACCCAGCTCTTGGCGCCTCGACTCCGGTTCTGACAACAACACTCTTGATTCGTGCCCTGAACTCTGGTGTTTTGGCTCCTGACCCCCTGGACTCTGGCTTGACGACTACGCTTATGGTTTGTGCTTTGGACTTGGTGTTTTGGTTTCTTGCCCTCTCAGTTTTCGACCATAGACTGGATCCGGACTATCCCTCTCTCGCCCTGCCTGCACTCCAGCTCATGACAATGTTTTGTTAGTCTTTAAGATCCAGCAAGCAGCCTCAAGAGTGCAGACTAGCCCAGGCTCGTGAGAGCTTGGAAGCTAAGTAGGACCAGTCCTGGGTATTACTTGGATGGGAGACCACCAAGGAAGACCAGGATTGCTGTGCAGAGGAAGGCAAAGGCAAACCACCACTGCTAATCTCTTGTCTTGAACTCCCCTGGAAGGGCCACCAGAAAGGGGTTGCCACTCGACTGCACTTAATTAAGATGGCCCTTATTAAGATGCTATTGGACTCCTGTTTTATGTTGCTGTTGCAGACTAATACAAGTACACATCTGGAATTACCCATTCTCTAAAATTCTCATGCTACAGTGGGTGCTGCAGCTCCACACTTCACATAAGGGTTGTTATCTGTCTCTTAAAATCTTGTGATGTTGGGGCCTTGCCACATGTTCACCTGACTGTGTAGGTGCCTAAGAATTTGAAAGATTGAGCTGGTTTCGTGCAAGGCTGGAACCTTTCATTCTTTCGAGGGCTTTAAATCCAGTGTGTTGACTTCTCTTTAGGGAAGTAGGTCAGGCTAATAGAAAATGTCTTGCCGGTGAGCTTTGTAGTTGAGCCTGTGTCTGACAGTTCTACGTCTGAACTCTGTCTCCTCTTCTACACTTGCTCTAACTGAATGGCATCATTTCAGAACAAAAAAAAATATCATACTGGCTCTTGGCTCAGGGTTCCCCAACGTGGTGCCCACCAAGTGTTTTAAGAAAGTGAGTGCGGCTGGATGGGGCTCCTGCCCAGCTGGGCTTCTGGTTGATTATTGGAGATAATCTGATACTGCTGATAGGCAGTGTAGATCAGGGGTGGCCAAACTTGCTTAACGTAAGAGCCACAAGGAATAGATGTCAGATGTTTGAGAGCAGCAAGAAACGAACAGATATTGCACACATGTTTTTATTGAAAAATATGCACATTTGCTTTTTATTAACATTAAATGAAACTGCCAAAAAAAGATGTAAAAACCGATATTGATAATGATATTTATTTGTCCAATGATATTTAATTGTTTGCTAATGATATTTGTCTGAGAGGTGGAAAGAAAGCAAATGGGATGGGGGAGGGAGGAAGGAAGGAAGGAAGGGGGAAAGAGAGAGAGAGAGGTGGAAAGAAAGCAAATAAATGGGGCGGAGAGGAAGGGAAAGGTGGAAAGAAAGCAACTTTAATTTTAAATGTCTTCTCCAACCCCTCCACACCAGCCAGCTTGGCTTGGAGAAGGAATTTAAAGAGACAAATGCTTTCTCCAAGCTGGTGGGGGGCTTTGAGAATGCATTTAAAGTTCAAGTTGCTTTCTTTCTCTGTTCCCCCCCATACACCTCAAGCCTACCCAGGGAGGGGAGCACTGGCTGGGGAAGGGAAGACCGATCCAGGAGGCATACCTTCCCTTTGCTTCCCCAGCCGCCCTGCTGGTAGCCACACAATATGTGTGAAAGAGCCACATGTGGCTCCCGAGCCACAGATTAAAATAACCACAGTGTTAGTTTCAGTCTCTCTCTTGCTCTTTGGCAGCATATTTTTAAAAAATCAGGCCTCTTGTACGTGGCATTTGGGCTTCCTGCCCGTGTGTGGTTGGCTCCGCCTCCTGTGGTGGCCATTTTGTATTTGTCTCCACCCCCACCCCGTGTTAGAATGCCAAAGGGGCTAGCAGGCTCAGAAAGATTGGGGACCCCTGTCTTGGCCATCTGCAGTCCTTCTAACACCCCTAGCTGCCATGTTCTGAACTGTGAGCAGTTTAAACTGCCCTAATTCCGGGAGATACTCCCCAATCAAGTGGCAAACACCAGAAGACCCAAACTGTTTACTATCGTACTGAATATAATTTATCCTGTTGTATTTTAAACCAGAAGCACTCTTCTTCAGGTATGACCTGTTGCATGCTTTTGGTAGGTTGCAAGATAATCTCTGAGGTTTCATCAGATCTCCTCCTAGGTAACAGAGAGAGAGAGGAGAGAGCATCGAATCATATTCCCTGAAAGAGGTAGTTTTTCTCAAAACACGTTGGAGTAATCTTCTGGATTATACTTAGCTGCATTGCTGCAGTGAAGCATCCTGGCTACTCAGTGTTTATGAAAGCATGGGATCAGAGTGCCGATTTTGATAGCCTTCTGAGTTATCCGTTTTCAGGGCTGGATGGGGCCAGTAGGGGCGCTGCCCCACTGCCACTAATTTGTCCCGTGTAAGAATTTGTTTTGAAAAACAAGCTCTTTGATTTGGAACACGAGAGGAAACTCTCTGGTTTAAACATATCGGATTTCTTCCCCAGAGTGGCAGTAGTCCCCCAGACGGCTGCCTGGCCTGCCCAGTCCTGCCCACCCGAGACTCCTTCTGGCTCCGGGTGGATTTATCACAAGCATTTTTATCATACTGAAAGAAAATCCTCCCTTTAGCTCCTATCACTGTAAGCAACAGGAAGGTGCTTTATATGAGAACAGCTAGTTTAATGAAGACGTTCTTTATTTTTAAAAAGTAGGTAAAAGAGTCTCAACTTAAGGCAACTTTTGAGACCCTGTTTGGTGTAGTGGTTAAGAGCGGCAGGACTCTAATCTGGAGAACTCGGGTTTGATTCCCTACTCCTCTACATGAAGCCAGCTGGGTGACCTTGGGTCAGTCACAGCTCTCTCAGAGCTCTCTCAAGCCCCACCTACCTCACAGGGTGTCTGTTGTAGGGAGAGGAAGAGAAGGTGGTTGTAAGCTGCTCCAGGACTCCTTCGGGTAGTGAAGAGTGGGGTATAAAACCAACTCTTATTATTATTCAGTTTTCTTCTTTTGTACTGCCACTTTATAGATTCTAAAATACACATGGGTATGGCTTAGGCTTGGTAACTAGGAATTTTGGTGGTTTATGAGTTAATGGCGGGTTTTCCATTCATTAATTTGAAAGCCCACCTTGAAAACGTGGCATCCCTTCCTATCACCATGTCCCCTGTCTAGTTTTCTGGTGGCAACCCCGTAGAGTTTGCAAGGCCAGGGACGTTCAGAGGTGGGTTGCCATTCTTGGCTCTGCCTGTACTGTACAACCCTGTACTTCTTTTGGTAGTCTCCCATACGAGTACTAAGCAGGACTAGCCCTGGTTCACTTCTGAGATCTGATGAGGTGTCAAGCCAGTCTGAGCTATCCAGGTTACAGTGACAATAACAATGTTTTAATGACAGTTAAATATGAGTCTGTTATCCAAGTTTCCCAGCCCCCATGAGTCCCAGGAACAGTAATGTTATAAGAAATGGGAAGCATTGAAAGATTGGGTTGAGAAACCAAATTTTTCTAACAGAACTATAGACCCAGCCCATTCTCAATCAACTGTTGGATTACCCAGAGCCGGCCCTGAGCAAAGTGGTCTAGTCAGTGTTTGGAGCAAGGGAGGAAAAGCTCCCTCTAGCCTCATCCTTCGTGATGTAACTTCAGTCCTGCCCATTCCCATGAGTCATGTTTTTTTTAAAAAAATGGGGGGGGGGGGCGACGACAGTGCCATTAAGCTGCAGTCAACCTACGGTGACCCTGTAGGGTTTTGCAAGGCAAGAGACATTCAGAGGTGGTTTGCCATTGCCTACCTCTGCATAGGTAGGCTCCCTAGGTGGTCTCTCACCCAGGTACTAACCAGGGCAAACCCTGCGTGGCCTCTCAGATCTGATGAAATCAGACTAGCCTGGGCCATCCGGGTCAGGACAGTTTTCTGGTGTGGTTTCAACCTGTGCCTTAGAAGACTTCCGGGCACCTGTCTTTCACCCAGTTTGGTTGCTTCTCTGGAGCAACCTACCTTCGCGCAGTAAATCTCAGCCTTAAGGGACATCCATCTCCTTAAACCCATGGGGAAATGCCACCGTGGCCCCAGCAAGGCTAAAAAGAAAGGTTTCTGCTAAAAAGTGTTTGATTGTGAACAAGACTTTTTGTTTTGTCTGTAGAACTCAGCGAACCTGGAGCTGCCTCGTATCAGGAGTGCCTTGGTAGCAGGCAAGGTATGAGATCAAGTCTCTCCAATCTGGGCACAGGGTGGGGGGGCGATGGTTTAGCTTGTGGGTTTCTCTCAACCCCATGGCTCTCTCTTCTGCTTCTGCCTTCTCTCTCTTGTGCTTTCTTCTCCTTAATGGGCATGCGCCTGCTTGTATTTTCCCCTCCCTTTGAGTTCACACGGCTCCTGTCCTCCCTTCCTCCCAGCTATGAACCTTTCAGCAGTTAAAATCCAAAAAGGTGCGTGTTCTAAAACGATGTTTGCATCCAGCTAACCAACTTTTTTTTTGCAAATTGAGCGTACGGTTTGTAGCAGGAAAAATAAATTAGTGTAGCAATTAGCATGAATTAATGACAAGCATATGCTTTGCAGATTCTCAAGGGTTTTTTAAAAAGTAGCTGTGGGGGGAGGGGGGCTGTTGCAGACAGGTTGGTTCAGGCCTGGCCGATCTAGTCTCTTGTCAGCTTGGCACGTGCTGAGCTGTTTCGGGTAGACCAGGCCTAAGAGAGCAGAGGCAGCAGGGCTGTGAGGCAGACTACGAGCCGAGGGTGCCAGCAAGAAGACACGAGTGGTTCTGTTTTTCAGCTGCTCTTTGTCAGGCAGTTCTGTAGGTGAAGCCCGTGTAGAGTGTCAGCGAAAACAAATCAGGATTAAGCCAGGATACCACATCGGCACATAACACAAAACCATAGTTAATCCTCACTGTGGATTAATAAACCGGCTTCATATCCTGGTTTGAGGTACTGTAGTTAGGGCAGTGGCACCGGTTTGGCCTGGTCAGCTGTCGTTAATGTAATTAAATCATGGATTTGCATTTTGTCTGCACTGAACCCCCATGTGCTTAGGGCAGACCAAAGTTTGTAAACATCAGAATTCTTCGCTCTGAATTTAGCTTTAAGTAGCTTTGTGTGAATTCTACACAGTTTGCTACTCAAGTGAAAGCCAATTGCAGTATTTTGACACTCTTCTCTTTATTGCTTGTTGGGGGGGGGATGTGATGATAGTTTTTATGGTTACTCACAGAGGTTTGGATATGTGTGTTGAAGGTGTAGAAACTGCATTCCTGCAATGTGAGACTCAGCTAAATCTTGAGCACGCCTCACTGTATCTGTCTCCGGCTCACAGCTTAAACAGTGTTATCCAAACTTTGAGGTTGGCTCACCCTAATCCTTAGCTCAGAGGGTGTGGCTGTATGGTAGAACATCTGCTTGGCATGCAGAAGGTCCGAGGTTCAATCCCCAGCATCTCCAGTTAAAAGGATGAGGCAGTAGGTAATGAGAAAGACCTCCTCCTGAGACCCTGGAGAGCCACTGCCAGTTTGAATAGACAAAACTGTCCTTGATGGACCAAGGGCCTGATTCAGTATAAGGCAGCTTCATGTGTTCAAGGGCTTCACGCACAATGTCACATGGAAACACAGATGTCAGCACTGCCGCAGTATCAGCCTAGCAGAAGAAAAGTGTTGGGGGCGAGGATGTATTTGGAGAGGGTAATGTGGTCGTCCTACAAGGCCTGGGTCCAGATCTCTACCGCTTGACCTTGGGAAAGTCAGTGTCTCTTAGCGGGACCTGCCTCGCAGGGTTGTTGTGTGAATTCAGTAGAGAAGAGGGGAGAATCAAATATACTGCCTTGATTTACTTGGTGGAAGGGTGGGATAAAAATGTGATAGGAAGAGGAGAAGAAGAGATTGGATTTATATCCCCCCTTCACTACCTGAAGGAGTCTCAGAGCGGTTTATAATCCCCTTCCCTTCCCCTCCCCGCAACAGACACCCTGCGAGGCAGGTGGGGCTGAGAGAGCTCTCTTGAGGACTGCTCATGGAACAGCTCTGAAAGAACTTGTAACTGACCCAAGGTCACACCAGCAGCTGCATGTGGAGGAGTGGGGAATCAAAGCCAGTCCTCTCAGAGTCCACGCTCCTAACCACTATACCAAACAGGCTTCAGGCTTTGTTGAAGCATGGTCTTAGAAGAGTTGTTTTTCCCTGGCGGTGGAAAGTGCCCTCAGTTTGGTGTAGTGGTTAAGTGTGCAGACTCTAATCTGGGAGAACCGGGTTTGATTCCCCACTCCTCCACTTGCACCTGCTGATGTGACCTTGGGTCAGTCGCAAGCTCTGGCACAGCTGTCCTTGAAAAAGAGCAGTCTCTGTCAGAGCTCTCTCAGCCCCACCTACCTCACAGGGTGTCTGTTGTGGGGAGGGGAAGGGAAAGGAGTTTGTAAGCCGCTCTGAGACACCTCTGGGTAGTGAAGGGCGGGGTATAAATCCAATCTCTTCTTCTTCTTCTTCAAGTCACAGCCGACTTAACAACGCCCTTCAAGACAAGACAAACAGAGGTGGTTTGCCGTTGCCTGCCTCTTCATAGCAACCTCAGACTTCACTGATGGCCTCCCATCTAAATTCAGGGCTGACCCTGCTTAGCTTCTGCTGTATGGCAAGATCAGGCTGGCCAGAGCCATTCAGGGCAGGGTTATTTTCCCCTCGTCTTCATGTTTTTATCAAGAAGCCATAATTGATTGTAATTTACCCGTGCCCCATTTTCCGTCCCGGGACTGCCGATGCGCACGCCTAGCAGTGGTTAGGTATTTTATCACAGTCAATAAAGAGAGGGAAATGCGAAAGGTAAGTATAAAGGGATCTGAAGGCATAGCGATGTATAATCTCAGCTACAGCATGCACTCGGCTGCATCTTTGATTCAGAGTCAAAGGTGCATGTTATTGGAGAACGGGGACCTACCGGTTGCCCAGCCGGTGTGAGAAAATTAAACCCGCCGAAAACAATAAAACAAGAAGGGATTTTTATTTTTGTTGTTCTGCCTTTAGACAATAACATAGGAGGGTCACCGTTTCAGCCGACAGCAGTACTAGCTCTTATGTTGCAGTCACATGTTCTGGGTCAGCGGCAGGGCAAAACCTCGACATGGTTACTGATGATCCTAACTGGGTTAGGATAATTATTTCCCTTGCTGTGGCCTCATGATAAATGGAAGTCTGGACTGCAAGGAACATATTTTTTCCCTCTGACCTGCTTATTAATACAGGCTTACCCCCATTTGCACTAGGGGCAGGGCTCTAAAACTGTACCATAGCAAGCATTGCTCCGAGTATGACCAGCAAAACAGCAGCATATCTTTTTTGGTGCCCTCTGTCTCTGTGGCCATGCTCAGGAACTGCAAAATGCTGACTCGTGGTGAGAAGACCTTGTAGGCAATTCTCCCACCTACAGTGTTGACATTTTAAAGTCCATTTAGTGGCCATTTTAAACTCCATTTCAGGCTTACAAATTTCCATCCTGGATCGTGTTTTGATGCATTTTAAAAAAGCGTACACAGCACATGTATATTATGTGGGTCCATGCTGCATTTACAACACGCAGGGAAGCTGTGACCGTGGCTTCTCCGTCTGTGCAGACTGCTACGTAGTATAGACTGCACATGCAATTTCATAAGTTTGCATGCTTCTTCCCACATGGCAACACTACCCACCGTGCACATTTATCACGTTTGAAGTGGCTTTTAGTTGGAGCTGCTCCTCTGTAGCTTAGTCGCTACTCCTGCTCTCGGCTTGTTCTGTGCATGCTCTCACTTTGCCCTCGTCTTCGACATATTTAGCCTTCCCACAGGTCTCCCTGTACTCTGCCCCGCATAGCAAAACGTGATAGTGGGAAAGTGGCACTCTGGTCTCGTCCCAGTTTACAGGTGTAGGAAGATTGGAGGGGGGAAAGAGATCAGGGAGGCACACAGGCTGTCCTATTGAGAAGGTTTACCAAGAAGGTCAGAACAGAGCATCACTGGTGGCTGTTTCACACAATACCTATAAACACACCCACACACCCCTGTGCGTCCGGTGACTATAAGCTCTGCAAAGATCTCTAGCCAACTATCGGAGATAGATGTTTTAAAACATCAGTTTGTCACATCTGTATGCTTCTAAAAGATTACCTGATGTGTGAAAAAGGCCTTGAGAAGGGACGGCAGGAAGGAGTGGGTTCATAATCTCAGGGGTCCATTCCAGCACATTATTAGCGTGAGATCCAAATATCACTCATTCCTGTCTCCTTGCTAAAAAGCAATTATCTGCGGATGTGGCCTCTGATTAGATCTGAAAATGAATGTCTAGAATCCACAGATCTGGCAGCCCACATGGGTTCTATATAGTAAGAGTGAGTGAACAGGAACACACTGCTCCTTACTTCCTCATCCCACAGCTACAGCGCATTCAAGTCAGGCCTCAGTTTTGTTTGTTTGTTCATAATAATTGACTTCCTCATCCCACAGCTACGGAGCATTCAAGTCAGGCCTCAGTTTTGTTTGTTTGTTCATAATAATTGACTAACATGAGAAATAATGTGTTGGTTTTTTTTTTAAAAAAATTGACCTGCAGTGACAGGAAGAGAAAAATGCTTCTGGGCGTGTATGTTATTTATATAGTTATTTATTTACTTACTTCATCGATACCTTGCCTCTCTGCCCAGTGGAGCCCCAAAGCAGCTAACATCGTGCTCCTCTCCTCCATTGCATCCTTACAAGCAACCCTAAGAAGTAGATTAGGCTGAGAGTGTGTGACTGACCCGAGGTCACCCAGTGAACGTCCATGGCAGCGCGGGGATTCGAACTTGTGTTTCCCAGATTCCAGTCTGACAATTTTCTACGTGGTGCAGTGGGGCGGCGTTCAGGCAGTGATCCTTGAAAACCCCATGCCTCTGTTTTTAATCTGTGGGCGTTCGGCCTGTCATATATTTAACGCCTTGCCTTATTTTTGAGCAGACGGGAGCCAACTGTTAACTTTTGCTGGCCTTCTGTGATAAACACATTTTTTTTTTTTTTTGCAAACCTGTCCTGCATGGCGCCAGGACCCTTTAGAGTGTATTTGAGCTGCCGATGAAATGCGACCGCCACCACTTCCTTTTATAACAGCTTGCTCGTCTCCCAGAAATTATGCCATAATGAGGTTTGGTTTATATATTTTACCCGTCTCCTCATTAAAGTGCTATCTTTTCGGAAGAGGCG